CTCTTGGCTTATATCGAAATCCTCCGACATTCTTCTTTACAAATCCTTGTTTCGTACTTCTAATTAGTGACCGTTGTTTTGTTTTGATCTCTCCGCTGCGCTTCAGCGTTCGTCACTTCTGAGCGGTGCATGCGCAAAGCTGACCTCATACGTCATCCGCCCGGATGCAACAGTGAGCGCAAGCTAGATTAAAAGGACATTATTTTTTGCCATAATCGCCCAGCCCTACTTATAACACATTATAATACATATTTGTAGGCTATTTGTGGAAGGTGCCATGCTGTGGAAGATCTCAAGCTTTTTCCAAACAATAACGATGAGAATAATCCCATGAATGTGGTGAATGAGAACGAACAGATGAAACACACTCTCAAAGCTCTTTAGACTGATGCGGCAGATAAACCAGACACACACACACTCTCACACACACACACACTCACACACACACACACTCACTCACACACTCGCACACACACGCACTCTTACACACACGCACCTCGTCGTCTGAACTGTCCTGGAAGCCCTGCGCCAGAGACGAGCCGAGCGACGCGGCCTTGGGCTCCAGATAGCAGAGACACAGCGCCAGCGGGAAGGAGAGCGTGAGCGCGTACGGCACAGAGAACGAGGTGGAGAGCAGGAAGAAGAAGATGAAGAGGAAGCAGGGGATGAGCGACGGAGATTTGATGGGCATGAAGTGATGCAGGCTCTCGGGAAGAAAGCGCAGCTCGGTGAGGTCGGGGAAGCTCAGGTAACCGTCCTCATCCAGCAGCGAAGGCAGATCGGGGAGGTGCAGAGAGAAGGAGAACAGCGTGCCGCCTCTGCTGCGGCTCTGGTTCAGTCTCTGTTTGCGTGCGGACAGAAGCAGTGCTTGTTCCTCCAGAAGAGCCACTTTACGGTCCGCTTGGGCCTGACGGCGCCGGCAGCCCGCCGTGGTTTTGGCCGGACTGACGGAGGCGGCGCGCTTGCGGCTGCTTTCCCTGCGTCTCCTGCGCACTTTGGTGGACGAGACGGGAGAAGACGGGAGGGAGAGCTCAGATCCCAACGGATCCGATGAGTACAGACAAGACTGATGATGATGATGATGATGATGATGGAGGGAGAAAACGGTGAAGGCGTGTCGTATGCACGCATGAAAACATATGCATGTTTGAACACAAAAATGTGTGGTCAAAAGAAAAGCAAGAAAGCTGGTTAGTGAAGGACAGGTAACAAGAGTTCGATAAGCAGAACTACTGTGGCAACTGCTGCACTCGCCTAAAAATGTTAATGCATTTCTACACGATTGTTTGTCGTGCTACATGTTAGTAGTTTCAGCTAATCTATTATTACATTTTTAAATTGCTGAAGTTTTAAGAATTCAATTGATTAGACATTCCTTTGGGATTATTAAAACTGAAACATTCAGTAAAATGAAAATGGAAAACAGAATTTGAGGAAAAAATAAAATTAATTTGGGAAAAATAAAACCTTTCATAGGTCACAATTATTATAAAAACTAAAATAAATAAATAAAATGATTATATTGTTAAAGTTTTATGAATTCAATTGATGACGCATCCTTTTTGATTATTAACATTTAACTGAACTAATAAAATAGAATCCAGAAAAAATTCAAATGAAAAACACAAAAATTTCAGAAGAAACAACAACTGAATTTTGAAAAAACAAACAAACAAAAAAACATTTCATTAGGGCACTATTATTGTTACAATTTTAATAAATTATTAAATTGTAAAAGTCGTATCAATAAAATTGATTAGACATCCTTTTTGATTATAAAACGTATAGAAATGTAAGAATTTGAGAATAAATAAAACTGAATTTGTGAAAAAATAGAACATTTCGTAGGGTACCATAACTGTTAAAACTTTAATAAATTATCAAAATTTAAAAGTTTTATGAATTACATTGATTAGACATTCTTTTTTATTACAAAATGTATAGAAATGTAAGAATATGAGAAAAATAAAACTAAATTTGGGGGAAAAATAGAACATTTCGCAAGGCCCTAATAATGTTAACATTTTAATAAATATTAAATTGTAAAGGTTTTATCAATTAAATTGATTAGACATTCTTTTTGATTATAAAACGCATAGAAATGTAAGAATTTGAGAAAAAAATAGAAAATTTCTTTAGGGCACTATTGTTAAAAGTTTAATAAATTATAAAACTGTAAAAGTTTGATCAATTACATTGATTATACATTCTTTTTGATTACAAAATGTATAGAAATTTAAGAATATGAAAAAAATAAAACAAAATTTTTGAAAAATTAGAACAGTTCGCAAGGCCCTAATAATGTTAAAATTTTAACAAGTTATTAAATTGTAAAGGTTTTATCAATTAAATTTGATTATAAAACGTATCAAAATGTAAGAATTTGAGAAAAAATAAAACTGAATTTGTGATGGAAAAAAACATTTATTTAGGTACTACTATTGTTAAAATTTTTATATATTATCAAATTGTAAAAGTTTTATGAATTAAATTGATTAAATATCCTTTTTGATTGTAAAAATTCATAGAAATTTAAGAATTTGAGAAAAAATAAAACTGAATTTGTGAAAAATTTCTTAGGGCACCATTACTGTTAAAACTAATAAATTATCAAATTTAAAAGCTTTATGAATTCCATTAGACATTATTTTTGATTACAAAAATGTACAGAAATGTAAGAATTTGAGAAAAATAAAACTAAATTTGGGAAAAAATAACATTTCGGAAGTCCCTAATAATGTTAACATTTGAATAAATTATAAAATTATAAAGGTTTTATCAATTAAATTGATTAAATATCCTTTTTGATTGTAAAAATTCAAAGAAATTTAAGAATTTGAGAATAAATAAAACTAGAAAAAAATAGAACAATTCTTAGGGCTCCATTAATGTTAAAACTTTAATAAATTAGAAAATTGTAAAAGTTTTATGAATTAAATTGATTAGACATTCTTTTTGATTACAAAAATGTACAGAAAATTAAGAAATTGAGAAAAATAAAACTAAATTTGGGATGGAAAAAATTTCTTGGGCACTACTATATTGCTAAAATTTTAATATATTATCAGATTGTAAAAGTTGTATGAATTAAATTGATTAAATGTCCTTTTTGATTGTAAAAATTCATAGAAATTTAAGAATTTGATAAAAATAAAAATCTGATTTCATAGGGTCCCGGTCATGTTCAGAAGCATGAACGCTGAAACAAACCTCGTAACAGCAGATCAGATCATCACGTGTCAAACTGTCATTCATTAGACGGTTACCTTGGTGACGGTGGGGGGCGGGGCTTGTTCTGATTCTTCACTGTTGGCTTTATTCTCCTCCTCCACTGAGTTCATCTCCTCTGCTTTCTTCTCCGGCGTTTCCATGGCGATGAGGTCATCCGTAGCAACAGCGGGTTTGGCGTTCTTCTCGTCGTCACGGCTCACTGTCGCTGGCACTGATCACACAGATACATCAACATATCATTATTAACATTATTAACACATTAACATATATTTTCCTCAGCTAACACAATCAGTGCTGTTATTGAACTCAAAATCAGTATTTATATGCAGAAACTGATGTTAAAATGTTGTGTACATTTGCGCTTATACACCAGTCTGCAAAATAATCCAACAATAATGAAAACATTAAGAAAAATATGAAATCACAATTAATATTTTTAATTTTAATATTTTAACTGCTTTGTTATAATTATGTCATTAAAATTAGACACACACACATACTCACACTCCCACACACACTCCCCCACACACCCAAACAAACACACACACACACACACACTCCCACACACACTCCCCCACACACCCAAACAAACACACACACACACACACACTCCCACACACACTCCCCCACACACCCAAACAAACACACACACACACACACACTCCCACACACACTCCCCCACACACCCAAACAAACAAACACACACACTCACATAATTTCAAGTGAATTGCGATTTATAAAGAAGAATGCATTTAAGAAATGCAATAATTTGTTTTTTTAATTATATTTAGCTAAATTTGGTGCAGCACTAATAAATACATTCCTGAATACACACACACACACACACACTGAAATTCCGCTCTGAAACTGACTTGACTAGCTGGTTAGTGTGAGTTAGCGGTGTTACGCACTGCTGTCCATGCTGGCTGTGATGGTGTGCCGCCTGCTGGCCGATCGCTGGAACTGCGGCGCGGCGCGTGAGATCTGAGCGCTCACGCGGCGCGTCTGCGCTTGTGTTCGGCCGCTGTAGCGGAACTTTGAGCCCAACGACAGGAAGCGCTTGGGAGGAGCTTCAGGAGAAACCAGCCTATCAGGACACAAGGATCAGACCGCTAATTAGATCGATAACATTTAAACATTTCACTTACGCGAGATGTGTCTGATGCTTTTAATGGCAGTTATAAATATTTCTGTAAATGATCCCAATATAGGAACTGAAACACACCACAACAAAGCATGTGGTTTTCATGATGACACAACATTTATGTTTATACCACAGTGACTTGGTTGAAAAAGAAAAAAAAACAAAAAAAAACGTAATTTCTATTTTTTACTATTTGTCAATGATAACACTAAAGAAAAAGAAAAAGAAAAAAAAAAAGAACAATTATGGTAAGTGCAATAAACGTATATGTTAACTAAAAAAAAATAAAAAATTATATATATATATATATATATATATACATACAAAACTTACATTTATTTCATTGACCAAAAAAAATTTTTTTTAATAATTTTTTTTATTGACAACATTTCTCCTTTTCATTTAGTTTAACTTGATGAACTACAATAACTAAAACTAAAACTGAAATACAATTTGATAAAAACAATACAGAAATATAAAAAAAACTACACTGAAAAATGTTTTACTTTGGAAAAATTTCACTTAAAAATTGCTAGTAAATTTCACAATTAATCACAAAGAAATGACAATTAACACAATGAATTAAACGTGAAATTTTGAATAAAATAGTATTTTCTTGTACGGCAATAATCTTGGATTTATTTACAACTTTGACTTTTTTTTTTTTTTTTTTAACAGTGTACTAAAACTAACAAAAATTACTAATTACTAAAACTTTAAATTTTAAATGATTAACAAAATATTAATAAAAACTATATTAGTATCGCAATGATACTAAAATAACACTAAATGTTTAGTTAAAGTTGAAGTACTAAAATGACTAAAACTAAAATTAATAAAAACAAATATTTACAAAATTAAAAAAAAAAAAAAAAAGAATAAAAATGACAAAAACACAATTTCGGATTTCTAAAATTAAAATCAACAGCGAAAATATGCAAATAAAAATTAACTCAAAATATTAATAAATACTACATTAGTATCTCAGTGATACTAAAATAACACTAAATGTTTAGTTTAAGTTTACTAAAATGACTAAAACTGAAACAAAAATGAATAAAAACTAAAATATTTAAATATTATTAAATATAAAAAAACTAATAAAAATGACACAATTTCAGATGACTAAAATTCAAATCAACAGGGAAAATATGAAAATAAAAACAAACTCAAAATATTAATAAAAACTATATTAGTATCTAAACATTTAGTTTAGTACTAAAATGACTAAAATTGTGTACTAATACGACTAAAACCAAAAAGAATAAAAAAAATAAAGAAAAAAACAACTAAAGAAAATGACAAAAACACTTAAATGACAAAAATTAAAATCCGAAGGGAAGACATAAGAAATAAAACTTCTCAGTATTAATGAATTCTACAGCATCGAGTCTGTCTGACCTGAAGAAGGTGTGATGCTCCACACAAACTTTCCAGAGTTGCTTTGCTGCTTTGTGATTGGGCAGTTTAAATCCGATGGTGCTCTCGAACTGTTCCAGCTGAGTGAGAACAGAAAGCCAAGCGTTTCACGCTCGTTCAAACACGTTCAGACAAACTGCAGTCGATCTGAAGAACAGAACGAGACTCGTCTCATCTCACCTCTCCCGGCCGCACCTTGATGTAGAAGTTGTTCCTCTTGTAGGAGATCTTGAGTATTTTGGGCCAGGCGAAGCGATTGATGCGCAGTTTATCTCTGTAGACGAGGAGGCCGCTGGAACAAACTCCCAGCATGATCTCCACAGCCTCCGAATCCTGACAGAAACACACACAGATCCGTCACATCACGTCACTCACCGTCTCAGGAAACGCAAATGAGGCTCACTAACACTAAAACCATAATGAAAAGTTTTCATTACTTAAAGGTGACCTATTACGCCCCTTTCTACAATATGTAATACAAGTCTCAGGTGTCCCCAGAATGTGTCTGTGAAGTTTCAGCTCAAAAAACTCCACAGATCATGTATTATATCATTTTAAAAATGCCTATTTTGAGAGGAAGCAGAAGCAGGCTGTTTTCGTGCCTGTCACTTTAAATGCAAAGGAGCTGCTGCTCTCCGCCCCCTTTTCCAGAATAGGGCTGTTCCTTGAGATCGTACGTCAGATACTCTGTTAAAAAAACATCTGTTTGGTTTTGATTATCATGTCTATCGCGCTGAAATCCTGTGTTTTAAAGCCACATTAGTTTAAACTTCTGATATAGTGTTTTCTGAGCGCACACATTCGAAGCACACGCACAGAAAGCGGCTGTCACACGGCATGTGAGCACTAAACTAAGTTCTCTTTCATGTCTTATTGTGCTTAAACTGTCAAATACACTCAAGTTTGTTAAAAACACACGAGTTACAAAAAAATCCACTGCTCTCTCGTCTCTGAGGCTGGGACTCTAAATAGTGTTCTGTGCAGCTAACGATAGAACAGTTAGCATGCTTTGCTCAAACTTTAGCCATGGTGTTAGAACTGGTATACCGTTGTTGCTTGCGAAAACAAGAATGGCGGCGGCGTGAGTGGAAACGTACAGATTAAGGGGCGGTGATATTATAAAGAGATCCCTCTGCCACGTCACCAAGGAGCGAAATCAGATGCACTCGTTTTCTCAGACGCTTGCAGAAAAAGGCTTACCAAAACAAAGTTACCGAGTTCATCTTTTTCACGTTTTCTTGGTTGGTAGATGCACCGGGGACCTGATTATAGCACTTAACACCGGAAACAGTCAGATTTTCATGATATGTCACCTTTAAACAAGTATAAAAACGTTTAATAAAATAAACAAACTGAAATAAAATAAAATATTAAAACAAGTAAACTTATTTTATTTCAGCTAGTTGCCAAGGAAACATTTCTAATTTTCATTTAGTTTAATTTGACTAAACTTTTTAACTAGAACTGAAATAAAAATGTAAAAAACCCCCACAAAGAAATATTAAAAGAAAAAAAGTACTAAAATTGGCAAAAATTACTAAAACATTTACTAAAATTAAAATCTCAATCTACTTCACTAACCCATAAAATCCCCGTGCTATTTTTGCATCGTTGACATAATATTATAGTTTTTGTAAATATTTTAATTTAGATTAAATTTTTTTATATTTTCGTAATTCCTTTATTTATTTTTTTTGTTTGTTTTTGAATATGTGTATATACTTTTTTATTAAGTTTTACTATTTAGTTTATTTACTTTTAATTATTTTAATACCTTAACTTAAACTAAACGAAAATGAGAAATGCTGCCTTGGCAATTATCTGAAATAAAATAATTTTTATTTATAAAAAATAATGTTAAAAAATTATTTGAAATAATTTTATTTCAGTTAAAAAATCATTTTATTTAAAAAATAAATAAAAAGGACAAAAACACAACTAAGACTTTAAAATTAAAAAGAAAATGTTATAGAAAATTTATATATAAAAAACTCAAAATATGAATACAAATTATA